ATGGAATTATCTAGTTTTTTAAAGATAAGCTTCTAAAAATGAAGAGGCTTCTACATGAATGAGGCTTCTATCTTGAAAAGGTAAAATAAAAAGTTTAACAATCTTAATTTTAAGAAATTAGAGGTCTTCCCACTGGAGCACAAAGAAAAAGAGAGACAAGTATAGTTGTGGTTAACCCTCATGCTGACAGTAGGAGGCACAGGCAAATTCAAGCTCTCTGATATTTCCTGTACCACACTTGAATAAATAACAAATTTAAAATGAAAAGAATAAACACAAATATACTTATTCTGTAGAATTAGATATTTAATTTAAAAATTTTTTAATTCAGAGATTAAGTATTTCTACGAAATACAGCACAGAAAAATTACTTAGACCTTTGCCTCTCAGATAGGTAGTACACAAAAGGGTGCAAGTGAGATAAAGGGGCCCCTGGAAACCTCCATGATGACCTTTCTGTGACCTTAAAGGGTGAAAAGAAGAAAAAACAGGACAGACTAGAATGAGGACACTATGAGGATTAGGACACCACCAATCATAATGTTGCAGGGACAGCCAACCAAAATGCTGGTTTCTATATACCTAATTAGCATAGAGATTAAACAACGCCCTGGAAAAAATAGTAAAAACTTCAGACCACACCACTTCTCGAGCACCCTCTCTTGGGACAACCCCCCCCCCTCCAAACTCTGAGGGTTCTATTCTCCCTCTTTCCACTTTTTTATCTCAATAAACTCTCCTGTTTTACTCATTCTCCTTGACCCTGAAGTTCATTCTCTGGCTTCCTGAGACAAGAATTTAGAACTCCAACCCTCCCTCTGGCTAAACACCTGAGCCAGCAAAGTTAAGTGGAGGCTCTCAGTCCTGCACAAATCTCTGTTTCACATGGGTACATGATTAAAACTAATGATTCAAAGCAATAATAGTCAGACATTCTTACAGAATGTAAGACTGTTTCTCTAAGTTTCTTCAAAATACTGTGTCAGGGGCAGAGTATTAAGTGGCATTCTTACCTTGTCATAACTGTTCACACTTCTACATCCTAGGAGAGAGTACTTTTACTACCTCAATACAGAATTGAACAAGTGTGAATTTTAAGCTGGTAACTATATGTAGTTATCACTATCACATCTAACTAGGTATCAAAGCACCTGGAGAAGTTATTAAATATTTTTGCTAAAAAAGTGTCGCTATGTTCTGAAACAGCTTTAGAAGTATTCCCTAAGGTTCTCCAGAATAACAGTGTCATTCTATACAGCCTACAGCTGCAAAAACAATATTGAGGAACATGGCCAAATTCTCATCAGAAGTCCCACCCAAGGTTGGCTTTTCCCCTACTAATTGCTTGCTTCTAGTGAGAATGACACATACAGGACACCAACTTCACTTAGGCATAGACACAGCAATATAAACAAACATACAGTTCTTTAACTGTGAAAAGAAATTACTAGCACATAAGGAAATTATGAGACAAAAATAACATACATTAAAAGGCATACTTGTCTTTTAATTTGTTGTAAAATAAAACACCTATTGCTACTGGCCATGGTGGTTAGGGCAGGAGGATCACCAGTTAAGAGCAAACTTTGTCTTAAAAAAGAAAAAAAAAAAAAATGTGTGTGCATGTGTGTGTTCCATTGCTAAATATATTGAGAAACTTGGCCTAAAATAGCAATAGATGCAAATATGATTTTAGAGAGGCTTAAGAGATTTCAGTAAACTCTAGAAATGCTTGTTGTAAAAGTCAGTGAGAATTTAGTTTTTTCCCATGAATGAAACAAAAGAGCACATGATAAAGAACATGAGGTCCAATCAAGTGATAGAAGTTTTCCAAGCCTTCTTTACCTTACCTATAAAGTAGGGATAATATGTGTACTTATACTTCACAAAATTATTGTGAAGATAAAAGCAAATAATGCAAAAAATTTATATACTGGTGGGTATATATTAAACAACTACTCTTACTACTGCTGCTATTTTTAGAACCTTTAGTATTTTAACATAAAGAGTTTAAAGAGCCAATAAAGGAAATCTGCCTATCCTCTAGAATTGTAGTAGGTAAACTACAGCTTTTGGGACAAAAAGTCCTATTACCTATTTTTATTTGGAAAGGAAGGATAATTTGTATCATAGAGAAATCAAATATAAATGTCCATAAAGTTTTTAAACAGTCATGCTCACTTCATGTTTTTGTACAATGACAGAACTGAGTGGCTGCAAACAGAGCTTAAATATCTCCAAAAGCTAAAAATACTATTTGACCCTGTACAGAAAAAGTTTGCCAATTCTGGTCCAGAATCTGGATCAGAGCAATTAGTATTTAGATACTATAGAAAGTTAATACATGCATGTTTTCGTTTCTTAAACCATGGTTAACTAAACAGATTATTAGATGATTTTTCAAAGTAAATGTCTAAAGCTGGGTGCAGTAGTACACACATGTTACTCCAGCTACTGAAGAGACTAAAGCAGGAGGATCATAAGCTCAAACCAGCCTGTGCAATGTGCTGAGGCTCCACCTCAAAAAGGAAAGGTAATTGTCTAAATTTGTGAACATTAAAAAGAAAGGCAACTCCTTCCTCTACTCCCATTCTCATAGCTACATTTTCACTTCTTAGAGAAATTACAAACAAAGTAACTTAAACATAACACCACTTCTGACAGTACATAATAAAGAGAACATGAATTTCTTACTACAAACACAGACTTACTTGAGCATGTTCAAAATAAGAATCTTTACCACAGTAAAGTTAAATGACACAAAGAAAAGAAAACTAAGTTGACTCCAAAGTCATTGATTTTCCAAACTAACTGATCATCTTTGGGGAAAAAGAAATACTGACATAAATCAAGATATTTGGAAGTTATTGGATGCAACATAGGAGAAATGTAATTATATTACAAAAATAAATGAAAGTAAAGAAAGAGTAGAGTATGTTTAAACCATACAGAAGTAGGTAAGAGATGGAAACTAGAGAGAAAAGATACAATGACAGAAACTACAACAGGCAGAACAAACATAGCAGACATTATTGATGGAAACTGTAAAACAAAGAGTATGATTACAATATGATTGGAAGGAAAAGAGAATCTGTCAAATTCCTCTTTTCCTCTCCTTTCTTTCCCAAAAAGGTCTTGTTTGATTTTATAAGAACATTCTAGGGAAAATATTTCAAGATTTCATTAAGTATTTATGAAGAATATGCTTCACAGAAAAATGATACTTGGAGTATTAAAGGAACAAAACAAAAACTGGGCTGGTTTAGTGGCTCAAGTGGTAAACAGCCTGCCTAGCAAGTATGAGGCCCTGAGTTCAAACCCCAGACATGCGCGCACACACACACGAAACAGAAACTGTATTTGGAGACTAATATACCCTGGGAGTGAAGGTAAACCTGGCAAAGAGATAAAACTACTAAGAAAATTTCAAGGCAAGGGACAAACCAGATGGATGAAAGAAAGGAAGGCTAGGAATTTATGTTCCTGCTTATGAAGGAAAAATGTAGCTTGGACATTGAAGAGAAATGTAGAGTTAGAAATACCAGGAGGTGAAGGTGGAAAAAGGAATAAAATAAAGATAAGTGAAGACACAGTCAAGCAACATCACTGAGTTTGAGTTAGCAAGCAGCAAAAATCATAAATACATCCTACCTAACATAATTATGCTATTTTCAATAGTAATTCAAACTCAGTAATAAGCAATTAGACAGATTGAAGCACTTAAGTTGTAAAGTTGGCTGGGGATATAGGGCAGTGGTAGAGTACTTGTCCAGTATGTGCAAGGCCCTGGGTTCAAGCCCTAGCACCACAAAAAATAGTAAAATAGGTGGGCTGGGGCAAGGCTCAAGTGGTAGAATGACTGCTTGGCAAGTATGAGGTCCTGAGTTCAAACCTCAGTACTGACAAAAAAAAAGAAAATAGACAAAAGTGGAAAGTTTAGGCTCATTACAATAAAAAGAAGTAAGAGTATTTAAGAGGCATATAAATTAATGTGTTTCTGTGTTATTTTAATGAAGCATTCCATGATTGAATAACTATGGATACACACAGTGGTAGAATTAAAAGGTAAAGTCTAAATACATTTCTATTCTTAAAATACAGAAAAAAGGACTCAAGTGGTAGAGCACCTGCCTAGCAAACATGAGGCCCTAAGTTCAAACCCCAGTTCCACCAAAACACACTGAAGAAGAATTCTCCACAACAAAATCTCCTGTATTAACTATCATATACTAATTAAAGAAAAAAAAGCTAAGTGCCTGTGTCTATAATCCCAGCTACCTGAGAGGCTGAGACTGGGAGGATTCTGGCTCTAGGGCAGTCCAGACAAATAGTTCACAGGACCCCACCAAAACGAAATGGACTGGAGATGTGTGGTAGAGTGTGTGCTTTGCAAGCACAAAATCCTCAGTTCAAACCCCAGTCTCACCCAAAAAAAAAAAAAAACTTCTCCCAACAAATTGCCATCATATGATGACTGGATGACTGATAGAGAACAAAATCCATGGAGTCTTCCCAAGCTGAGAGCAAGTCATTGTTTCATGATTTCAAAAGAAACATTGAAAGGATTTAGAAATTACAAATATAACTAATATGCTCCTCAAATATTACACAAATATACACACAAAAACTTACATAAGAACACAGTGATGATGTTGTTGTACCTTAAGTGGGCCACACACACAGTGTTAGCCCTACACATACCAGCTGATCTTAAAATACAGGATTACAGGATTTTCAGTTCAACTGGATTTGGTTGACTCATAGTTCAAATAGAATTGGTTGTACCCTATCAACAAAGAAGGCTGACATGGATCAACAAGACAATTGCCATACTGTGTCGGTCCATTACTCATTAAATTGAGATTGTACTTGTTAAACTACTTTCTAGCCTGATTAATAGCTTAGGAAAGAAAGCAGCTTAGTCTTCATTTGTCTGCACACAATTTTTACCATTCTTATGCCTTTTTGCAAAGGGCAACTTAAACAATTTAAATACTTACTAATATCATCTTCATGATAAATGACAGAGTGAAATGGCAGAATTCGGTCTTTAATATATCTCTCTGCTGGCTCAACATAAAATGTGCCACCACGAGTCTTTATGAATCCTTCAAATCTTCCATCAATAACAGACCCATGACTAAAACTTCCTTCTTCACCTATTAATGGAAGCAAGAAACTCATGAAAGTTTAATTTTTCACATGAATGTTAAATTCATTCATCTATAAAACATCATTTTTCAACATTTTTCAAATACCCCAAGTACAAATTTACAGGGGAAACTAACTTTCACATAAACTACATCAAGTTAAATATGAAATATGAATAGCAACTGGTATTTAGTCAAAACATATACAATTACTTACTACTAAGGACAATGACAATTAGAACATCTGTCATACTAGTCACATTCCTAGCACCCAGCACAGTGCCTGGCATGTATACAGTAGTCATTCATTAACTAATTGTTAAATTAGCTTAAACTTCAAAAAAGGTAAGCCGATCCACTAATAAAATATATACGTTCAGAATAAAAATATTCAAAGTATCTGCTAAAAACTTTCCTTTAATCACCATAAGAAAAAAAGACCCTTTCCCACCTAACATACTGTACAAGAATCTTTTGTTTTCCTTGCCACCTTTAGGTTTTATAAGTACATTTTAAAATACGAATGTGTCAAATATTTCAGAAGCAAACAAAAGAATACCTATAGTTCTTTTTAAGATACTGGACAAAGATCAGTAATACTATTAAATTGATTACAATTTCCTAGTGAAAGAAAAAGGAGTACTTTTTGTTCTAAATATAATCACAAATCTAAGCACAAAAATCAAATGACATGAAAGGGTAAGCAACAGAAAAAGGGATGGATTTATTTTGTTTCATTTTGGGGAGGGGCAAGGGATTGAACCCAGGGCCTCGCTAGTGTATCACTGAGTCAAATCTCCAATACCACCACCTTTTTTTGGTTTTGTTTATGTTTAGAAATAGGATATCCAAGCCTGGGATGTAGCTCAATGGTGTAGTGCTTGCCTAGAGTGGGTTTGACCCCCAGCACCAAAAGGAAGGAGGGAGGGAAGAAGGGTAGGAGGGAGAGAGAGAGGAAAATCCATGGACTCGGGGGAATCTTCCTAACTCAGCCCCCCAGGTAGCTGGGATTACAGGTGCATGTCTGCATCCTAAAAAAAAAAAGACACTTTAAAAGCTAAATTTACCAAAGCCAGGCATGGTGGTATGCATCTATAATCCCAGCTCCTCAGGAGGCTAAGGCAGGAAGATCACTTGAGTCCAGAAGTTCAAAGCTAGCCTGTAAAACATAACTAAAGTCTCAAAAAAAAAAAAAAAAAAA